CACTCTACTTGAATTTTGGAAAGAATATTTTGAAAGTAATACAAATTTTAAAAATAAAAAGTTTGTAGCAAATAGGTAAACACTTTTGTCTAAGACCGGGCTAAACGAGTAAACACTGTTACCGCATTTCTGACATAAAATCAGACCCTCAGTCATCTCAGACATAGGTTACAGCATAGTAGGAATAAAGAAAAATAATAGTTAAAATAAAAATATAAACATAAAATAAAATCCCTCATTTCAAATTTCTTTGATTATTTTTAATCCTACAAATCCACCCTTGGCACCGGTGGCCACACGCATGAAGTCCAAAGGTAGCACAGTCCATAGTCCAAGACATGCTTTCTGTTGTGTAGATGTCATCTTCAGTTGTAATACCAGTTGGTCAGTCTTTGTTTTCCTTTCAGCCCTGCTTTATGAGGCTTCCATCAAATGTTGTTCCACCGTTCATAGATATGCAAATCATCCATCACACACCTAACACCTCCACAAGAACAGGCACTGGATCTGGGAGCAAACGAGTGAGACAGTGGGACATCAAACTCGGAGCTGTATCTTTCTTAGACAGGACACTTGATATTAACTTAGGCAGCATGGATTCTGAAATTTAAAAGAGCATAGCCCAACAACCAACAAAAGCATACAGCATTCTTCATTGGTCAGAGGTTTGATATGGTCAGATTAAAATTTTCTTAAATTGATGTACTTCAAAATATGGTCAAGGGAGAATAAAATAAGATCGTACAAGCTCTTACACTGTTTCTGGAAACATTTAAATAAAACGAAACAAATGCTGGTTAAAAAAAAACATTTCATGAAGTGTATCAGCAAAATCATTCAGTGTAACCAAACGCAGAGATTCAATTGAATTAATGTCCCAAAACATTGTTGAAAGTAAAATGGACAAAATACAAATAAGAAGAAATCAAATAAGTTTCAGAAATGTTCCAAAAGCATTAATGAGAATACAAATATTTGTACTTGGGTGAAAATGAGAAACAATGAGACAAATGAAAACCTTAAGTTATTAAGTACTAAATCAACACTAACAAGCTTTTGTTTAATCAAATGTCTTTTTTTTACACATTTTACATTTAGCAACTGTTAATTCTGTAACACTGCTTCTGCTTAGCCTATTTTATCTTTATAAAAATAATAATGTTTCAAATTTCATCTAACTCTGCCCATTGTTTTGGTCACTATTAGCTTGCAAATGACTTCAATTCGCTGCACCTCCCGAAGCAGTCTGTCCCAATCAGGAATGTAAAACAGAGCTATCAGTGACAGTGGCTGATTCAATCACAATATCCAAATCATTATCATTGGCAGAACGTTAATTTTCATAAGTTGCATGTGTTTTCAATACAACATATTACAGTTCCCCGGCATCGTAATCAGGGTTCTAAATTAACTTTTTTGATCACCAGCCAATGTGGCTGGTAACTTTCTAAAGTTACCAGCCATTTAGAATTTCCACTAGCCAAATTTTTTCCGGTGAAAATAAGAGAAATTATGAGTGCCACTGAATGCATTTGATAATTTTATTAACATTGTTGGCATGAAAAACACAAATAAAGTACAATACAAGACAGAAAGTGCAAACATTTCATTTCAAGTTTGGGATCTATCTCTATTAGGGATGTGCACGAATATTAGAATTTTCGCTCTGTAATTATTATTAAAAAAATAAAATACTAATACTTTTTTTCTTCATTTTTTTTTCGCAGTTATAATTAAATGCACTGGGTGGAGCATTTAACAAGTGGATTGTGTTTTTGATCACATAATGTCGTTGTCTGCCTCGCGAAGTTTGGAATTACTTAGATGAAAATGATAGCCTATTACAAAATGGAATTACGTTTAATCAATTATTAATTATTATTATTATTATCATAATATCACCACCACAATGAGAAATCACATGAAATCCAAAGAAACAGCAGTCGACTGAGGAAGCAGCTGTCCATCACTGCATTAACGACTGCAGGTCAGCAGCTGTACCCCGATATCTTCTGGTAGCAAAATGATTTTGACATATGCTTCCTTTAAGTTTCGTTGAGGGAGACAGGTTTAAGAACAGAAAACGCAAAGTGCTGTTACTTCACTTTGCACACACACACACACGCGCGCGCGTCTCTGCAACGCCTGTGTGTCAGCGCAGCGCGTTTTCTCACTCGAGCATGTGGATATTATTGTTTTTCTCAACATGAACGTGAAACAATATAAACACGATAATCATATGCTGACTCGAGTATGTAGGCTACGGTCTGTACGATAACTGCGCAGTCTGCTTTTTTTTTTTTTTCTTTTTTTTTTTTTTTTTCCCCGTTTGCGCTGCCTGAGCTTAAATGCTTTTGTTGTTTATATATTTTGTTTACACATATTGTTTAATGTTTTCAACTAAAAGAAAACCTTAAGATATATAGTAAGCTTGTTGTGTATAGGCTATTGCCTAATGTATAAGCTTGTAAGAAATAATGACAAAAACCTTAAACTTAAAAAAAATAACGTAGGCTATCTCTCGTTAAACGACATTTAAATTTAAACCCAGAAGTCTGTCCCAACCACCGCCGCATTTAGTTTAATCTTAACTTTTTACTTTAGCTACTTTACTAGCTCCCTCCTCTTTCAGTCTGCTCCCTGCTCTGGCTCGTTCTTCATCTTCCTTGTGTTTTCTGGTGGACGGACGCGTACGCTCCGTTTGTTTCCATGATCATTTCTCGCGCTGGTTTCACTGCAAACTGCGCGCAGCCAATGGGCGTATGAAACGTCATCACGTAGCATTATGGCAGTGTTTATGGGAAATGTAGGAAGTACTGCCAGGGGGATAAATGACTGAGAACAGAACCTTATGCATCACCGGCCAAACTGGCTAGTAAGTTTTTATTAACACCCGCCAAAATGAATTTTAACCCGCATTTGGCGGGTTGGGGGGTGTTAATTTAGAACCCTGATCGTAACCCCTCCTACCCAGTTTCTGTAATTTTCCTTAAAGATATCCCATATCTTTAGTTTACCCCCCCAGGCAGGTCAAACTGTCTTTGTCCCTTAGAAGCCAAAAGGCCTTCATTTACGACCTAAATTACTTTCTGCTCCTCTCAGGAGGGGGGCACGGGACTACATTTTATTACTAAACGACCTCCTGTATTCTCTTCTCGGGCCCTAGGTGTCTATCTTCCTGGCCCATCTGGTTTTATTACGTTTGTTCTTTCCTGCCCCCTTCAGCTGCTAGAAACCCTCACAAAAACATATAACTAAATGAAATTAACAGTTTGGAAACAAATGAATATAAGTAATACAGAATTTTTCCGTAACAGTTTAACTTTGATCATACTTGTCCAGGGAAATTATCCCAGACCCATAATTTCCTTTATAAAACAGATAATATCTTTTCTTCCTTCAATGACTTAATATCAACCTTATTGATTTCCAGAATCTTTAGACATAACTGTCTCTATCATTAACACTAATTACAGACCTTTTAGGTTCAAGAAAACATGATGGTTGTCAAACTAAAACTAAACATCATCAGCATGACTGTTCAGTTATTCATACAGTATAAAGAAATTTAGCATGTCATCAATTTCATTAACACTGGTTTGAGAGCTTATTCTTCTATCAAATGGTAAGTCAGCAGATTCAACTTAATATTATCATTATTCCTCAGCTCCACTTCTACTGTTTCCCAGAAACCCCAAGATCCTATTACTCATATTTCAGTCCCTAAATTACACAGACAGCTATCATAGCCGCTTGCACCTTCAATTTTTGTTATAAAAATATGCTAATCTATTCTTCAATACCCTTGTTTTCATAACATCAATACAATAAAGCGCATTCATATCATCATTTCAATCATATTTTATCATTATTTTTATCATTAAAATATAGAATTTTCCCGTTTTACTTGATAAAACTTTTTATATCACTGTTAATCATATGCAATGCCTTATTTTATTCTGAAACTCATTTTTCATATAATTTCAACTTAATTTGATTTAACAGGCGTTCATAAATAGTTCCATGAATTCTATCTATCCCTAAATGCTACTTCTTTCTGCATTATAGTCTGCTCACATTCTTTATACACATTACAAAAACAATCACAATTACTGCTTTTCACTTTTTCTTCAAACATTCATCTGAAACACTGCTCCTCATTCACAACATTGCTCAAAAACACACACACACAAAGAAAACTGGTGTGTAAAACTGTAGGTGATCCTATACTGGCTGAACGCTATCTCTCCTGGATTTTCCCTCGACGCGCCTAATAATCTGTCAGATATCTCCGACAGATCCGATTTTCTTAACCTAAAAATCGGCCAGGGGTCGTCAATTATGGTTTACCCAAAATCAATATTTCAGTTAGCCCTAATTAACAAATGATGTGGCAAAATCTCTTGACCTGTTCGTAGGTCTCAATTTCCCACCTTTGCGAGAGCTCAATTCTCAGTCAAAACTTCTTGACTCAGCCTCAGTTTAGAAAATCTCTTAACCCATTTAGGGTCTCAATTTTCTTGGTCGAGGACCTCTTGCCCCAGTCTATGCCTTAAATCTCGCACCATAGAAAACAGTTTCAGATATCATAAAGAGATCATACGATATTTCAGTGCAATGTCTATTATTAATCAGTCAATATTAAAATTCCGCAACAGTCACTCACATGACATCACAACATAAGCAAACCAAAACCATCCAATCAATTTCCGATGGACAAAATCAAGTCCCGCCTAAAATGTTTTCTTCTTCACGAAGCCGTTTCACTTGGATATACGTCACAATAGAAAAAGAAAAGACTATCGCAACTTGTTTCATGCCGACTTTTTAAGTATTTTTGATAGACGGATTATAAAATGGCATACAGGAAACCACTCCGAACACATTAGCAACACCCTGGCAACCACTCACAACAACATGCTGAAAAGTTTTGCCGGGGCAAGAAAATGATAGTATTTACCATTTACATCATGAATTCCATATACTGTATGTGTGCTCAGGTTCTGCAGAAGATGGCCCGAGAGTCGTGTTCATGGTGGACCTGTGGCATCCAAACGTGGCAGCAGCCGAAAGACAGGCACTGGACTACATCTTCACCCCTGGACGCTGAAAGAGAGCTGGGAGAAGAGTAAAGGGTTAACAATTTCCATTGTATTAACAGTATGAGATGAGTGCAAAGGGAAAGACAGAGTGTGGAGAGCATCAGTCTCTTCCTCTAGTATACGTACCTTTACTCTCACTTAACTTCTTGGCACTGCTTCAGTAGAGACTCCGATGTACCGTCACTATTGTACATTTATCAATGTTTACAGACCTCTTCAAGTTTAACCATAGCCAAAACCTGCTGGTGAACTGTGCTTGAGACAAAGCCCTCGCAATGTTCATGTTGTTCTTACAATTTAGCTGCAGGGTCACTTTATACCCAGTGAGTGTCATAGTATCATTTCACCAAAAGCATTGACAGTCAATCGCACATGGAAATGCACTTTTTGCCAAGCCTGGTTGCCACAGCTAGGTAGGATTGTATAGGAAGCACAGTACAATGTTTGGTCTGTACATTTTTACTGAGGTTAGGCTTACAGAAGCGAAGCTAAACAGTCGTAAAACGACATATGCTGCAATGACAGTGGATTTGACATTTACAGCAAAGGTATGTGGATATATGGCAGAGATGGTATGCGAAGTGAACTGAAGCACTTCCAGCTATTGTGTAAAATGACCTCCTCCATTAAACGCACTAGTGGCAAGTTATTTTTCTGCCACGTCCAAGTCAGGGTCGGATCGTTGCGATGGGGATGAATACGAGCACATCAAATCAGCCTGCTTTCCACTTTACTCTTTCCTACCTTGAATTTTCGAAACGATTCAAAACTTATCAATCACTTTGTATCTCTGTGAAACTAAAGAGGGACAGGGCGCTTCATATTTTCCGGAAAACGCAACGTTATGGCTGTTAATATGTGCTAGGTTCAACCTTATTGTGCTTTGTCGTACTGCTTGTAAGCAGAGCTTTCGTGGTTGTCGCATCGATATGGGTACATTCCTTTTGTAAGACAGACCGTTTTGAGACCGTTTCGTGAGCAGTGACATTTTATATCATTGTGAGACTTTTGGAGTTGCAGATCAATTTTATGACAATGTTCCTACTTCCATGTTTCCAAATTGTGTGTCATGGACTCACTTTGCAATGGATTGAGTAATTCTGTTGATTTAATAAAGAACTAATTCAATATTTGGCTTTGTGTACTTTGTGGCAATGCTTGTATTTAAATATATCGTGACACGTTCTTGTGTGTTAATGCAAATTAACTGTGGGTGGGTATGAAAAAGATCTGGTAGCAATAACATTAGCTGCTTCTCAGGAACACCTGCTATTTGGACAAACATTAAAGCAACACGCTGGATGTTTGGAGGATTTTGTATATGGGGGTGGCAGATAGAAGGCTAGCGCTGCAAACTGCATCCATTATCAGACTGCAGCTCTGGAGATTTACATAATACATATTCCTCTTTTGCTAACACAGAAGGGAGAGATAAATAGTAGATGAATGGAACGGTAGATAAAAGGCAGATGCAATCCACCTACAGTCCATTTCTGTTCTCCAGATTGCATTTTGCAGAGGTTGCAGATCTAATATTCAGTCAGTATTCATAAGACCTTAATACTGCAGAAAATCATTAGAATGACATTCCAAACTGCATTTTCTTATGTAAATATTTAATGGCCTTTGAACCAACATGTAAAATGTCAAATCCAATTCCCAGCTGCAGCAGACACACTTCCCTGCTAACAAAATAGGCTAATGTTCATATTGTTTATGTTCTCTGAACGTTCAAAATGTCCGGGTTTTGAATGTTTAAAAAACGTTTTTTTCTTTGTTATGGGAACGTTAATATTATTTAAAAAAGATAACTTTCAACAAACATTCTACTAACGTTAGTTGAAGGTTTTTTGTTCATAACTTTGAGGACCTTAGCCAAAATTCTGAGAATGTTCCCCATTAGCTGGGCCTGGGTTGTCACATCATCATTCTGATGATAATGAAATACTTTTCTCAAAACAGATTATTTTCCAAATGGGCGGATTGGTAAAGATTTGATCCGGGCCACATTAACTTTAGCAAAGTTGTAGAAAATGTACATATTCACCATACTGAGTACTAGCTATAGGTAGGCTATAGTTTTATATAGTCCACATAGAACGAGTTTTTTTCCCCGTTTTTTTTTTTTTTCATTCCACTGCGCGGTTTTTCCACTAATAATGTTTTATGTAAACATGCTATAGACGAAAGCGTTTGACCCTTCCACCCGCCTTACTTCTATTGCAGCGCTCAAGTTAAAATATATTAGATTTTAAAAAGACTTTATGTGTGATAATGATTGTACTTGCACAGAAACGTTCATCAGTCTATTGCGATGTAGTATAATTGCCGCAAGGGGGAGCTAGACAGTCATTTCTCGATGGAAGTGACAGGGCGTCTGAACGAGCAGCTAATGGATGAATGTTTCCACTCATCTTCTGAAGGTCAAGGTTAGGATTTTTAATTGGATGAGCAAGGCCTACATCAGCACAAAAGGGCACCTTTTACCAATAGCTGTGTCTGAGAGAGAAAACCGTGACAGCTGTTGGAGCTTGGCAACATAGTGGAGCGACATTATGAAGCAGACAGGGACACTGCAGGGCACATTCCCTGAGCACTACAGCAGACAACACACACACACACACACACACACACACGTACACACCATAGAATTTGTAACCTAACAACATGGGCGAATGCAACAACAACAACAACAACAAAAGTGAGCAAGATGGGAGATGCTAAAAAAATTCAAATTAAATTTTGCATTAGACAACATTTTTTTTGGCAACACTCATCATTCAAGAATATTTAGAAGAAAATAAACATCTATACAGCCTATTTACAAAGTGCAGATACGACATCGTAGGTCTGTAAACCCTGTTAGTAAAGAACAAAAGGCCCTTTACTGAAAGAACCTGAAATACATCATCCATCAGACACATATAAACTGAAGTAAAATTGAAGTATATTTTTCAGAATCTATGCTTTTTGAGAATTCAGGTTATTGGGGAATTGAGGAGAATTGTGCTTATTGAGAAATAGGTTGATTTTCTGTTAGTACAGTACTTTATTTTGTTATAAGAAAGACTAATTAAAGAATGTTAGTAACTCTTTCTGTTCATGCATGATTTATAGCACAGGCAAAAGAGAACAAAAATGTCTCAATTTCCTAATAATATAATTCTATAGATTATAGCCTTACCTTTTATGTTGTGTATGTTTGCATACATCTTTTGAAGATGGGTTTCAGAAATAAGGCTTGGAAATGTGCAAGGCAGAGGTGAACTTTTGAGTTTAAATGTCATGTTTTATGCAGGTTATCTCAGTTCTGGTTCATAAGGAATAAATGGACCGTGGAGTGGCCTGAGGCTGGGATGTCCTGCACATGCTGTGCAATGGGATGCTGTGTTTAATCAAGTGAAAATCTGTGGGCGAATGAAGACTCCTCATCATGATGCGTTCTGAAAACTTTACCACCCCGGGGACACAGAGCACATTCAAGATGGTGGAACTAAAAAAAAAAAAAACCTGAAGACTAAAATGATCAAATTGAGCATTGAAAAAACAATATTAAACTTTTTTTTTTTTATCTCATGATTGCAGTCCTGGTTCATGGATATTATTCTGATATTGCAAGCAGATGCACTCTGTAAAGATAAAAAAAAAAAAAATTAAAACAGTCTGTATATTGCACAAACTGATTTTAGATTTTCTTGCTGATTTTTTATTTTATTTTAGATTTTCTTAGCAACAGTTATGTGATCGTGATCGACTCGATTGGTCATTTTTGGGAAGATTTCTGGGCTTAGAAACACAATCAGAAAGGTCTGAATGTCAAAGTGAAGTCAAATGTCAAACTCCTCTGCCAAATATTTTTGATCTCATGTTTTTACCTTTGTCATTACAAGCTTACTCTAATGAATAGATTTTTTTATGTAACAATTTTAAGTGGAAATGTGATTATCAATACTGGACATAATCAAATATTAAATACATGTTTTGATAAACCAGTTAGCTCAGAATTTGTACATAGACAGGGCATAAATTATAAATGATTTTATTTACATTTCATCTGATCAACCTGTTACCTCAGAAGTTTACATAATTGAGGCTATTGAATACATGTTTTTTTTTTATTAAACATGCATTATAAACTTTATTTAAATTTTGTCAATAACTTGTTATCTCAAAAGTTTACCTTACGTAGGCCTTATTAAATATTAAATACATATTTTCCATAAACATGCTAACTATTATGGGCTATATTTATCTTTAAACAAGTTACCGCCGAATATACATAAATAAATGTGCTTTGCTTCTATGTACCAGAATAATATTTAATGTGTTTAGTGTCCAGGAAAGTCTTTAATTATGTCCAAAAGGGGTGGACATTGGTTAATATGAATTATTATAATTTAAATTAATCCAACCCACTCTCTTATGCATATGGAGTATCCTTAACAAAATATCACAAATGGACAATAAGAGAGGGATCCTTTTTTCATAAGTTTTTGCATACATTGCATGTTGTGTTGTGTCACCCACATGTGATGATGCACACCATACGTTCCACGTGTCCTCTCTCTCTCTCTCTCTCTCTCTCTCTCTCTCTCTCTCTCTCTCTCTCTCTCTCTCTCTCTCTCTCTCTCTCTCTCTCTCTCTCTCTCTCTCTCTCTCTCTCTCTTCCTCCCTCTCTCTCTCTCTGAATCTTTTTTGGTTTATTTCCGAGCCCATCTCCCCTTACCTACGCGTCCTACCAGAATAGCTCTTATACGGAGCAATCAGGTGGCACCAACTCAGAGAGGAGATCTCGACAGCATCGTTTCAACATGCCATCGAGGAGGTGCCGATGTACTCTCAGCACTCAACGCTGGGCTATTCTATTCAAACGATAATAATGAGACACTTCAGAGTTCAGCCTTTACCTTCAAGGGCATTTTACTAAGCTGAGGATGAGTTTCACGCTTCCCAAAAGCGAATCGACGACCTCCTTACTGAGATCCTCCGCACCGGCCAGAAGCGCGGCTCAGCCGCACGATCACCCCGGAGCCCGGCGGACACACCATCAGCGATCCGCGGCGGCCTCTGGAGCGGAGCCGGGGGACTGCGATGCGAGCTCGCGGAGACCCCTGTGTCACCCCTCACTGGTCGGTACCCGGAATAGCGCAGAGAAGAGCCACCCACAACACTCCCACTCCCATGGACACGCTCTTTCCACGGCTCACAGTCAGGAAGACCTGTCAGAGCTTCCAGGTGGAAGGGAACGAAGGACAGCCAGACGGCACCATCATCATCACCATAATCGTCATCATCATCACCATCACCACCACCGGTCCACCCGGGACGACCTGCCCCAAGAGCCCCGACCCAAACACTCTCACGCCGCTCGCATGCCCACCAGAACTCAGTCTTTTTCCGAGTCCAGGGACGAAACGGCTCTCTTTTTTGAGTCACCTCGTCTGGCTCGACCGGGGTCGTCAGCGAGCAGAGAGGCGTGTCCCCCCTCCACCGCCTCATCCTCGCCGGTGCCCGCATCCTCCAGCCGCTCCTCCCGGAGATCAGGGCGGTCCAGCGCAGCATCTTCTGAAGCGGATTTCAACCTGCGCCCGTTCCTCAGCTCAGTGTTCGGACAGGTAAGGCTCGAACACACGCGGAGTATACGACTTTTGAAAGGGCTGTTATTTAAATATAGTTTTTGTAAGCCGTATTTAAGGGCAATAACAAACTTTATGCTACTAGCATGTTATTAGTTAGTCATGATTTTAGGAGGGACGTGCTTAAACGTCTTACGTAAAATTAGGCAATAGGCTAATGCAAATGCTTACAGATCTCTCACCAAGTTGAGGAATCTTAGCTAACATGGAACGTTCCCACACTTTCACAATAAAAAAAAAAAAAAGTAATGTAAATGTTAAGATAAAACGTTCTTTAAATAGCCTAACATTGATACAACATTCTTATAACATTATTAATAATATCTTGGAATGTCTAAGTTATGATGCTGTTCTGAGAACATTTTCAGAACATTATAATGTTATTTATTATAACCCACTTGATGTTCTCATAATGTTGACAGAAAATATCCTTAGAACTGGAATTTATGATGTTATTATTTGCTGAATGTCAACATTAACCTTCTTGGAATATTACAAATGTTTAAATAGTTAGAAAGAGTAAGTTTTAAATTCACAATGGTGGACAGACAAAGCCATTGTGTGGAAAAAAAAAACGGATATCATCATATTCCATATGAATCCAAAGAGGACACATTTAATCTGAAAAATGTAAGCATAATTTATCCATTTTGTTTTCGTCGTATGTTGTTGCAGCATTTTCTTTTAAACAAAATTCAGAATGGCAGCCTACTTGCACAACACTGCAAAAATCACTGTTAGGATTTAAATTGGTAAATGTTGAAGAGTCTATGATCGGATCATTATTGAAGTGATTATTATGTTTCTAGTATGTTATATGTTTGGCAACAGTTCAAGATCTTGAGCAAAAATGGATGCACCTTTTGATGGAAATAAATGTTGTGATGCTATTACCACCAAGAGGTGCATACATTTTTGGTAAAGATCTTGTATTGGCAATGCAAGAGTCAAGCACCCTGTAAAGTCTCCTCCAGCTCATCCCAAAGACTTACAATGAATTTAAGGTCTGGACTCTACATCATCATTCTTTCACAGTTTGAGCCTGATGAATCTTGACATTGTCATCCTGGAATATGGCAATGATGTGTCTTCCTCCATGGTTGTTTAAGAAATTAAGGTGTGTGCGGCAACTTTAGCAACATTTCTGCACAGTATTGCAGGCCAAAAAGTCCTTTGTCTATTGTCAATAGTTACAACAAACCCAAACAGCTTTCTGTTCGTCACTGTGGTGAATCCGCATGAACAATTGAACCCGCTGAGAAGTTTGTGTGGGGAAATCTTTCGCCCTCATGTGAATTTCTTAATTGTGTGAATTCCTGTTGAAATCACTGGATTTCACCCAGAATAATTGGCAAGGTAAATGAGACCGCATCTTTACAGTTAAAAGAGCCAATCACATTTATTTATTCAACAATATGAATTTGCATTTGCTGGACCATCCTGAAAAATACAATTTTGTTGACTGATTTGTTATAAGAAACACAATTTATGATGCAATTGGTTTCAGATTTTATTACTGATTTGAAATATGTCATTGAGACAAAATTTCAACAAACAGTTACATAGATTTCATTCTTTTCCCATTCAAGTCTAAAAATAGCTGCCTGTGGGAATCACGAATTTGGCTGCCGAGACTAGTTTAGCATTTAACTCTGATTATCGCACACAATATCTTGGCATATGATACCATATTATGAAACAGTATCTGTGTCTTGAGTACCAGAATTGCAAAACCTGATTTCACCAATTGCAACATGTTCCTGGATCCTCATCTTTGCTGATCCTGGAACAACATTCCAATCAACCAATCAGATTTGAGGGACAAGTTTACAGTTTATGTCAAGTTTAGGCTTACAACCTGGGTTAGGTGCTTCTACATCACCGTTATTCACCTATCATTTCCCTCTGATATTAGGGAGAGGTTAAGGGTACGGTTATTATCGGAATGAATATGAATTTATTTTCACAATGTATCTCAGTGTTTCCTTATTGATCAAACGCTTTCTGACAGTGAACATCTGTTAGTTGCCGCTGATTAAATGGCTGTCTAGAACGTTGTGGAAGCTTCTCTTCGGTATACACAAATCACAGAAGTTTGCTTTGAAAATCAATTGCATTAATAATAAAAGAGTCTTTGCTGGAAGGATGAGCTCCGGGTGCTCCTTTGTTGCTTTAGACACCCGAAAGGCTGAATGGATAAATACAACGTCCGTTTGTGAAATGCAAATCTTTTTTTTAGGCATATCCGAAAGAGATTCTGTGTATAAATGATTAAAAGCTGTTCTGATGTCTGATGGCACCGACACAATGACTTTGATGCGGTCATAAAACATCACACACAAACACACACGCATTCATTTGCAGCTACACTAATGTGGGTCGTCCTATTATTGTTATCCAGAAAGCTTTTAAAACCACATTGCTACATTTCAGAATCCATTTTAACAAGACAGACTCCTTTTTGAGGGTGGAAACAAACTGGATGGTTAGTCATAAAACATAGACCAGATCAGACTGATTAATAATATCCGGCTCCAAGGTCAGAGCTATTCTCAATGTACAAATAGTAAAAAAAAAAAAACACCACTTGATAGACTAAAGGGTAAAATGAACTGGCGGCTAGTCAGAAAACATCGACAAATGAGACCAATTATGAATTTCGCCTTCGAGGTCAGAGCTTTTCTCACTGTAACCCTCCATCTGTCATTGTTTATATTGCGATGGTTCATCTACATTTGCCTCAGTCCCTTTTTACTTCAAAGCCCTTAACCACTGTTATTATATAGGGGTTTCTTACCTAATTTGATAACAGTTAATATAAAATTATTCCCTATGCATCATTCATGTGTAAAATGTTGGTCTATTTCATTGGCATTCATGAAGGAGTCTCACATCACTGGGAGAAACCTTCTGTTTGCAAGTATGTTGTTTAGGCTGTCAGCCTCAGACGCTGTATGAATCAGTGAGGCTGGCTTACAGTCTCTCACTGTGTGTGTGTGTGTGTGTGTGTGTGTGTGTGTGTGTGTGTGTGTGTGTGTGTGTGTGTGTGTGTGTGTGTGTGTGTAAACACAATTTACCAGAAATGCAGTGTAACAGGCTTCAGATAACATGGGTGACACACTCCCTATTGGTCTGTCTGAATTCCCAACACTTGCCTAAACGGGTGTTGAAATAAGACTGACGAAATTGTCCTTTGAGGACGATGCGACTCTTTCCCTCCATGAATCTCTTAAATGTTAAACCAGATATGGTCTCCCCTTCTCTTTAGCGCTATTCTTAGTCTCAGAACCCTTTGTGCGTGTGTGTCGTTGACCCTGATATGTTTTTGTGTCTGTTGTCAAACACTTGTCAAAGGCTCTAGCATCTCTGCTATAAACGTCTGAAATAAAATTTCTGTCATTGTTACGGCGGACAGGCGTAGGAGAGGAGAGGTGGATCTTGATGCAGCCGTATACTTTTAGTCAGCAATAGGTTAGGCTATTAATAGCATTAATAGAATTAATGATAAACTAAAAAAAGAAAAGAAAGAACAATCAACAATGTGGGTGGAAATCAGACTCACTGACTCATTCTGTTACGAATATCATCCACACACATTTATAGAGCAGTTTCCTTAAAACGAAACTGAACAAAATATGATTAGTTATTTTAATCTATTAATGTTTATGTTTAACAGGGAAAAACCAACATCTTTTCAACAAGTTCCCCCCTGAAAACCACTTAAATATTCCCCGGTTGGGAATCACAGCTTTAAAGTAATCCTCTTTTTCCAAGTCTTGCCTCATCTTTATCCTGTTACCATAATGGGGAACACTTTACTTGAAGGGGTGTGCATAAGACTAACATGACACCTTCATAATCATGACATGACATATGTTATGAATATGAAGGAATTTTTATGCATGTTTGTCACAACTGTCATTAAGTGTCATTCGCTCAATTATGACATTTTTAATGCAAATATGACATTGTTTGAGATGTCTTTGTTATGACACCTTGACATAAACCAATACATCATAACCTGTCAGTGTCTTTGTCATGACAACTTGACATTACTAAGACAACACAACCTGTCATAAACATGACATAGCAGATTAATTATCAAACTTAAGAAACCACTTAGCTTTATTGGTTAACATTACATTAAACTGTCAGGTGGTTGGTTTTGACATTGGCTGTCATGAAGCCATTATAACTGTTTAATGACAAATTTAATTTGTACCACTGTAGTTGAGGTCACGAAAAATATTCATGACACAGTTATAATGGCCTGATGACAGCCAATGTCAAAACCAACCACATGACAGTTTAACTTAATTTAATGTCAAGTTGTCATGACAAAGACACTGACAGGTTATGATATTATGGTTTATGTCAAGATGTCATAACAAAGACATCCTAAACAATGTCATATTTGCATTCAAAATGTCATTATTGAGCGAAAGACACTTAATGACAGTTGTCATAAACATGCATAAACCCTACTTCATATTCATGACATATGTCATGTCATGGTTATGAAGGTGTCATGTCAGTCTTATGTACACCCCTTCAAGTAAAGTGTTACCCAATAAGGTATTATAAGTACAATAAGTATTAGGAACTGCTTTTGCTGTTGAATTTTTTGCCTATGCATATTTTTGTTTGTGTACAGGTGCACTTATGAAAGATATTGTGTGATATATGCATTGCATTGCAATGTTTTAGTACATGTTGAGCTTGTGACTGTCTGCTGACAGGATGAGAGGTGACAGTTAAAAGTAGGTTGCACATTCACAGAGAGCTTGAAAAGGGGACGGAGGGATAAATAAAACTAACATATTAGAGGAGAAGAGGCAGAGAACGGCTTTGGCCCCTGAGTCTGTTTCTCAAGATGAATCATCTCATGGAGAAAAACGAGGGGAAAATAGAGATGGATGGAGGATGACAGATAAAAAGATGCGCATATGTGCGTATGTGTGTGTGAGAGAGAGAAAGAG